CTCTGTTACCCAGGCTGAAGTGCAGTGGCACAATCTCAGCTCACTGCAACCTCTACCTCCCGGGTTCAAGTGGTTCTCCTGCCTCTGCCTCCCGAGTAGCTGGGAAGACAGGTGCATGCCACAACTCCGGGCTAATTTTCGTATTTTTATTAGAGATGGGGTTTTACCATGTTGGCCGGATTGGTCTTGAACTCTTGACCTCAAGTGATCCACCCACTTTGGTCTCCCAAAGTGCTGGGATTACAGGCATGAGCTACTATGCTCAGCATAAAAACATAATTAAATCCTAGAGACTCAGGTCTCTATCTCTGCTTTTCTAGCCTCTGGCACAGACAGAACATACCTTGGCAAAGGTAGAACCTTTTCCTTCAGATTCAATGGTGATGGTTGTAGTTCGTCTTAACAAGATCTGGTCGATGTCCTCTTCACAAAACTTGGAACCTTCATCATCTTCCTCCATGATGGCTGCATATGCTCCTTTTCTTAAAAGATCTTCAATCTCCTTCTTAGAGAACTGTTGGATCTATAAAAACCAATAGACAGATGAAAAGACTATCAAGAGAATATTATCTAACTATGCTATAATATTTTAGCTATTATATTTTAAGAATAATTGAGAATCCAAACAAGGTAGTCAAATTCCTGTGTAAAAATAGCTTTTGTTTCCCTCTATAACAATGACTCACTACAAACTTATCTATAAACTAAGACTCACTCCAGTAATGTTGCCATCCCGACCACTCATGGACTGAAGCACAGCCTTATCCAATCCTAACTTGAGGCTGGCCTTATCAAACATCTCTCTCTCATAGGAATTACGAGTGATGAGGCGGTACACCTTCACAGCTTTGCTCTGCCCAATTCGATGACATCGTGCCTGGGCCTGGTTTAAAAAAATAAAAATGAAAGGAGAAAGGTAACACAAAATTAGCAGGGGAAAGGATACAAAATATCAATTTATGATCCTCTCACTTCTATAGAGCAGCCATGAGAAAAACTCAAAACCAAGAGTCAATTTCAAGATGAAATTATCACCCCATCATGTAGGCCAGGGGTCAGCAAACTAAATTCTGTATGGACATCTATTTTTTATAAATAAAGTTCAATGTGGACACAGTACTACCCATTCATTTACATATTATCTATGGCTGCTTTAGTGCTGAAGGACTTGGAGGTGAAACAGAGACTTGATAGCTCACAAAGCCTAAAATATTTACTATCTTGTCCTTTACGGAAAACATTTGCTGATTCCCTGACCTAACTGCCACCCTTAACTAAGGAAACAATTCCAAATTCTCTGAAAGTTCTTTCTAAAAGATCCTATTCTTACTGAAAAATCTTCCAAGTGAGGTAGTTAGTCCCTAAGACAATGAATTCCTTTACCTGCAGGTCATTTTGTGGATTCCAGTCTGAATCAAAGATAATGCAGGTATCAGCAGCTGTAAGATTAATACCAAGTCCACCAGCCCGGGTACATAGTAAGAAGACAAAGCGGTCTGAGTCAGGTTTGCTGAAGCGGTCAATGGCAGCCTGTCGAAGGTTCCCTCTAACTCGCCCATCAATACGTTCATATAAGTACCTGTATGGGAGTCACAGAAAAAAATGTAAGAGGCCAAGCAGAAGTGAAGACCAAAAAAAGCAAGCTAGGATCAATACCAGTATTTCCGTATCAAAGCTGGTCAAAAACCAAGTTGTGAGTGAGAATCAAAAACTTCTCTTATTGCAATTGGTCAACCCTAATTGGTCAACCCAGGCCCTCCTATTTTTTGCTGCTTTATGAGGATAGAGTAACCGCAGGCTGGGATGACTCTTTTCTTACCTCCTCTGGATTAAATAATCCTCTAGGATGTCTAGGCAGCGTACCATCTGAGAGAAGATCAGAACTTTATGGCCACCAGCTTTAAGCTTTGGAAGTAATTTGTCAATAAGAACCAGTTTGCCAGCTGAACGAACCATGGCCTGCAGATGGAAGTCATGAGGTATAATATGGCAAGCTTCACGGAATTCTGTTAGGATTTTTTCTTCTGCACCTACCAAAAGAAAAATCAAATTATGTTGAGATTCAGTGAAACATATTAGGGTTGTAGACTATTTAATTAAGAAAGCAAAGGGAAAAAAAATGTAATTTTACTTAAGACCAACATTTCATACACACAGAATTTCAGCACCAAAAAATCTTAAATCAGCTGGGCACAGTGGCTCATGCCTGTAATCCCAGCACTTTGGGAAGCCCACGAGGGTGGATCACCTGAGGTCAGGGGTTTGATACCAGTCTTGCCAACATGGTGAAACGCTGTCTTTACTAAAAATACAAAAATTAGCTTCGTGTGGTGGCACGGGCCTGTAGTTCCAGCTACTCAGGAGGCTGAGGCAGGAGAATCGCTTGAACCCAGGTGGTGGTGATTGCAGTGAGCTAAGATCATGCCACTGCACCCCAGTCTGGGTGACGGAGGAAGACTCTGTCTTAACATGGTGAAACACCATCTCTAATAAAAATACAAAAATTAGCCAGGCCGGGTGGCAGGTGCCTATAATCCCAGCTACTTGGGAGGCTGAGGCAGGAGAGGTGCTTAAATACACAAGGTGGTTGCAGTGAGCTGAGACCATGCCACTGTACTCTAGCCTAGGCAACAGAGCAAGACTCTGTCTCAAAAAAAACAAAAAATTTACTGGGCGTGGCGGTAGGTACCTGTAAACCCAGCTACTTGGGAGGCTGAGGCAGGATAATCACTTGAACCTGGGAGGTCGAGGTTGCAGTGAGCTGAGATAGCGCCACTGCACTCCAGACTGGGTGACAAGAGTGAAACTCCGTCTCAAAGAAAAAAAAAAAAAAAACTTAAATCACCCTCTGTTGTGTCATACAAAATATTCCAAGTAAGGCAGGCCTATGATAACTGGGTAAAAAAAGATGTAAATACGTGGCCAAGGACTAAGTAAGATGAACACTATCAGCACCCAAAAAAGAGACAGACACAACAAAATGGAGTATCGATAAGGACATTTATCCAGGGAACAGAATAACCTGACAATTTTTTTTTCTTTTTGAGACAGGGCTAGCTTCAAACTCATGGGCTCAAATGATCCTTCAGCCTCAGCCTCCTAAGTAGCTGGGACTACAGGTACATGCCACTGTGCCTAGCTAATCTGAGTTCTTATTCATGAAATTCTAAACAGCAAATCTTAATTTTGGAGATTATGCAGGATCAAAGGTGTAGAAAGAACTAGACAAAAACATTCCAAATAAGAATCGTTTTTATTTACTTTATTTGGAGACAGGGTCTCACTCTGAGATCGCAGCGGGGCGATCTCAGCTCACTGCAATCTCTACCTCCTGGGTTCAAGCAATCCTCCCACCTCAGTCTCCTGAGTAGCTGGGACCACAGGTGCGTGCCATCATACCTGGCTAATTTTTGTATTTTTTGTAGAGGTGGGGTTTCATCATGTTGCCCAGGTTTAGAATCTCTTTTGTCAAAGGAGAACCATTTCTCATTCCTCAGTCCCCACCCCCAAATTCGGTTGGATCAGTCAATGCATCCATTGTCCCCAAGGAGTATCATCTGGAAAGTAAACACAGGTACTACAGAAGTTCAGGTGTATACCAAGAATTCCCTCACCATTGATGAGATATGGGTGGTTGCAGCACTTGCGCAACTCCATCATTGTGTTAAGCAGATTAGGCATGTTGGTATGACCTGCTCCTTTGGAAAGGAAGGAGAAATTCTTCTCCAAAATAGCCCGATAATATTTCTTCTGGATGTTAGTCAGCTCTACTTCAATAATAGTTTCCTGTTTGGGTGCCAAGTTTTTTTCAACATCCTCTTTGAGTCTTCTCAGCATCATTGGCTTAAGAATGGCCTGTAGCTTTTGAACCTGTGGTCCATTACAGAGAGAAAAAGAAATCAATAACATGAGGACAAACATTCTCACATTATGTAGAAACATGGAAAATTAGAGTTTTCCACTACTAAGAAATGTACACTTTGATGCCACAAATGATGTAGGCACAAGAATATAGGAATTCAGAAGGGCTCTTGAGAGCCCAATGACAACAGATAGCTGCCATGTACAAACTTCATCTTTTTTGCCCTGAGTTAGTACCTCAACTCATCAGATAGATTTCCTACCTGTTCCTCTGTCTTTAGATCCCCAAAGTCCTTGAGAAACTCTGATTCTGAGGGAAATTGTGACGGTTCTAAGAAATGAAGCAAGCTAAACAGTTCTTCTACGGTATTTTGCAATGGTGTTCCTGTGAGTAGCACTTTGTGTTCCTAGAAATGGAGAAAACAAAAGAATAACAAAATTAAAAAATATAAAGGACTTCTGAAAGTATATAATCTTTAAATTATATAATCTTTAATTTCTTTATGTATAAAATTATGAGAATGGACAAGATCACTGGTCCATTAACTTTTCTTCCACACCCTCTTTCGATAAACACAAAACATTCAAGAAATCCCTCTAACATTAATGTACTGAAATAACATAAATATTGTAATAAGCAAATTAAAAAACAATAATTCAGATTATGTTTATTCCAATTACATAAGTCTCTCCATATTCAACTCCCCACAGATATCCTAAAATCTGCTGTCCTCTAGGGAATGTAACTGAGCTGGATTAAATACGGTGATTAATTTTTTGTTGTTCCACCTATTGAGGTTCACCCTGTGAATCTAGGCTCGCCTTGTTACTTGCAAGAACAAGAATGTAAAAAAAAAAAAAAAAAAAAAAAGAACAAGAATGTAGCAGAAGTGACCCTGTGTGAGCCTCAGAGCCTATCTCAAAGGTTGCTGTTTCTACTTTTGCCCTCTTGGAATACTGCCCTGAAACTACCATGCAAAGAAGCCCATTCTGGCCTACGGAGGATGAGAGGCCATGTGGAATCCAGGTGCTCCAGATAAAAACCAGCATCAACTGCCAGTTGTAGCAATATTGACTCCAGGCAAGGTCATCATAAGAACCAACCAGCTGAGCTCAGCCTAAGTGGTTGAGCTAGAAAATCATGAAAAATATAGTTACTGTAGGATGCTAAGTTTTGGAGCATTTTGTTATGCAGTAATAGGTAACCAATGTAGTTTCCTACCTCTTCTTCTGATTGAGAATCACTAAACTTCCCAGTTCTAAAATTTATGACTTTTACATGACTTTCAGGTTACCATATCCACAGGCCATCCCCACTGTTCAATACCATGATTCAGACTTTTTTCCTTCTCTGCTAAACTAGGGTTATTTTAATTCCACAGGGAATTAGGGTTGATTCCAGGTGTTTCAGCCCACAAGTCAGTGTGGAACTCACCAGGTCCATGTGCTTAAGACTATCAAGCAGCTTGCAATTACGATTTTTCAGTCGATGGGCCTCATCAATGATGACACAACGCCATTCAATTTCACGAAGCTCAGGACAGTCTGACAAAATCATCTCAAAAGTGGTGATCAGGGCGTCAAACTTGTATGCACCTGGGATGAGGCGTCCCTAAGCATGAAGGCAGCAAAGTCAAAAAAAAAAACTAAAATGTACCTAATCGAGGAGCTCTTCTGAATTACTTGGCTACTATATTAAGACATATTTAATAGGAAATAGAAACTGTACCACCACCCACCTCCACCGCTGTTTATCTTCCCATATCACTGAATCTAGGATACACTGCTTCCTCAACATATTCAGGTTCTTGGGAAAATGACAGACCTCATTGAATGAGAGGGTAGACATTTTTTACTCTGCTGTATGCCTAGCTCATATATCTCTGCCCTAGATATTTTGTTGAGTAACAATGAAATCCACAACTGCTGGACAACAACGAAACATACAGACAATAAAAATGGAAACAGATAATACAGAATGTAATATTGGCTGATGTCTAAAAATTGACAAAAGAAAAAAATCATTTTTACAAAATTAAGAGCTGCAGGCTGGGCGCGGTGGCTCATGCCTGTAATCCCACCACTTTGGGAGGCTGAGGTGGGCAGATCACAAGGTCAGGAGATCAAGATCATCCTGGCCAACATGGTGAAACCCTGTCTCTACTGAAAACACAAAAATTAGCTGGGTGTGGTGGCACGTGTCTGTAATCCCAGCTACTTAGGAGGCTGAGGCAGGAGAATCACTTGGCCCTGGGAGGTGGAGGTTGTAATGAACCCAGATCACGCCATTGCACTCCAGCCTGGTGACAGAGCAAGACTCCATCTCAAAAAAAAACAAACAAACAAAAAAAAAGAGCTATAAATAAAATATGACAAGAAGATTTGATTTGGTAGAAATAAAAAGAAGAAAACTAATAGTAGAAAAACAATAAAATTCATGTTAATACACTACAGATAATTCCAATTTTGTTTTCAAATTTACATAGAAAAAGAAATTGATTTTTTTTTTTTTTTTGAGATGGAGTCTTGCTCTGTCACCAGGCTGGAGCGCAGTGGCCTGATCTCAGCTCCTTACAACCTCCACCCCCCAGTTCAAATGATTCTCCTGCCTCAGCCTCCCAAGTAGCTGGGACTATAGGTGTGTGCTACCATGCCCAGCTAATTTTTGTATTTTTAGTAAAAATGGGGTTTTACTATGTTGGCCAGGCTGTTCTCGAATTCCTGACCTCATGATCTCCCCCAGCCTCCCAAAGTGCTGGGATTACAGGTGTGAGCCACCGCGCCTGGCCTTTTCTTTTTTTGAGACAAAGTCTTGCTCTGTCATCCAGGCTGGAATGCAATGATACAAGGCTTACTATTTTAGAAATTTATGTTCAGTTAAAAGTGCATGATAATTACAATTGTTTTAAGGATATAAGTTATGAAAGTTATAATTAAGAAACAACATATTTTATTTGCAGTAGCCTCAAAATATGTACCTAACTGAAAATTAACTTGCAGATAGGTAAGGTTCACTGCAGCCTTCACCTCCTAGGTTCAAGTGATTCTCCTGCCTCAACCTCCTGTGTAGCTGGCATTACAGGTGCCCACCACTGCACCTGGCTAATTTTAGAGACGGGGTTTCACCATGTTGACCAGGCTGGTCTCGAACTCCTGACCTCAGGTAATAAGCCCACCTCGGGCTCCCAAAGTGCTGGGATTACAGGCATGAGCCACTATACCTTGCCATTTAGAAAAAGAAACTGATCATGATGAAAATTTCAGTAGACTAAAAAGAGGAAAAGAAATAACCTCAGCGGCTGAGCACAGTGGCTCATGCCTGTAATCTCAGCACTTTGGGAGGCCAAGGCAGATGGATCACCTGAGGTCAGGAGTTTGAGACCAGTCTGTCCAATATGGTGAAACCCCATCTCTACTAAAAATACAAAAAATTAGCTGGAAGTGGTGGCAGGCACCTGTAATCCCAGCAAGTCGGGAGGCTGAGGCAGAAGAATTGCTTGAACTCAGGAGGTGAATGTTGCAGTGAGCCAAGATCACGCCATTGTACTCCAGCCTGGGTGACAGAGCAAGACTCTGTCTTTAAAAACAAAAAAAGAAAGAAAGAAGCTCACCACCACATGGATTAAGTGGCTAAAATAATTTCACTTCTGGAAAATACTGTGATTAAAATTCATTGATGCTGGCAAAATTCTACTTAAACTGTATGTGTTCATTAATAAAATCAGAACTTCTACTGGATCAAATGTCTACTGGGCAAAAAAACAGCTAAGTCAAAAAAAGACATGCATACTGCTATACAAAAATGCCTTACGCCATAGATATTTTTGCATAAGCATACTGAAGACTTTCAATAAAAGTCTTCTATTCATATACCGCGCCTAAAATACCAGGTAGCTTGGCCAACTTTCTCTAAGCCATAGTATTCCCAAGACATATAACTCACCCGTGAATCTTTGCAGTACATTTCATATTGCTGAATCATCTGCCTGCTGGCCAGGCTGCCATGGTACACAATAGTGTTCATTTCTGTCCATGTATTAAATTCTCGCTCCCAGTTAGTAATTGTGGACAACGGGGCAATGACCAAGAAGGGGCCATGGATGCCCACATTATATACTTCCTGCAAGAAGGCAATGGACTGAATAGTTTTGCCCAATCCCATCTCATCAGCCAGGATGCAGTTCTGCCTGCAGATTTACCATGGGGAAAAAAAAATGTTAAAAGATACTATCTTTAAAAAACAATAGAGTATGTAGGAAGAAATTGTTTCAACAGAAAACAAATAAAAATAATCCCAGAACTAGGCTTACATCTTACGGGCCCATTCTTTTCTTTACCTGTTATACCAATTAAAGAGCAGCCAATTGACCCCCTCCAACTGATATTCCCGTAACTGGTTTCTGTTTTTATATTCATGCGATAGCTCCAATTTCTTCCAGGCACTCGCCTGCGGACGATTCTAAAAAACATGACATTTGAATAAATGTAGTGGAGACATTAACAAAAAGACTTACTAGGTAAGTTCTAATAGTTAAAGTCAATTCAAAACAACATTGGTTTGGATTAAAACAGGTCAAATATGTATAAATTTATGAGTTCACAATGTTACTTAAATAAAAAGTAAAGACGAAAAACTCTGGTCACTTTCGGAGAATTTAAGAGAATTACGTCATTATTTTGGAACTGGGAAATAGAGGAAAATAATAAAGTACTTATCTTTTCTATATGATCTCTACCTTAAGGGAACCAAATAGTAAGTCAAATTTCTTTTTATAGAAGAATCTGGCTAATAAATGCAGAAATGGTAGAATTAAAATATCACCACTTTCAAATCCTTAAAGCATGGATCCAGAATGACAACAAACGACTGACAACATCACAAAACACAACCTGATGTAAGTACACACCACCATCTATGAAGCAGAGTTACTGGCTTCCCTCTCCCATCTGATCAAGCCTGTAGAACAGTGATGTCTAATAGAGCTTTCTACAATGTTAAAAAAAAAAACAAAAAACACATGGCTAGTGACTACTATATTGAACAGCACAGCTCTAAAATGTTTTATTGGACAGCGTTGCTCTAACCTAAGCATTCATGTGAAATATCAGGGACAGAGAACATGTAAAAAGGTACCAATGTAATGTAATTAGCAAACTTCAGCCTATGGAAAACTCCACAAATCAACTGATTTCTTCAAGAGAAAATTATAAGGCAGGGAGAGGAGATCAAGCGGGAAGTTAAAAGAAACTTGAGACGTATGAACTGATAGCAATATATGGACCTTAGTGAGAACCAAATTTAAATGATTTAACAAAAATTAAAAGATGATGCAATGATTGGTACCAATGATTTGATGATATTAAAGAATGATTAAATTTTTCAGGTGTAATAATTTTTTTTAGACATAAACACTGTAATATTTACAGATGAAATAAATGAATCTGGGATTTGATTTTAAATAACCTGGGTAACAGGAATTAATGGGTAGGAAAATATATGACGTAAGACTGGATGTGTACTAATAATTGTTAAGTGGATAATGGGTACATTATACCATTTCTTCAATTTTTATATGTTTGAAATTTCCGTAATAAAAAGCTAAAACAACAAAAACTTCCATAGGGGAAAAAATTAAATCATTTCTTATGTAGGCCTTCATACTCTAATGCAAATGTACTTACCACCCTTTTGAGTTCTGGGTGCCTTGACTGAATCCGTTTAAATTCTCGAATCTTGCCCTCATCAACATCCTCTTTTAGCTCCCATGTGCTATCTTCATAGGGCAGAGAGCACCATTTCACCAGGTAGTAAATAACAGGCTAGGAGAGAAGAAACCAAAGCCTTAAGAAACTTATTCTGTGTTCTCTGTTGTGGTTAAAGAATAAGAATTTGGGTGGGGCGCAGTGGCCCACGCCTGTAATCCCAGCACTTTGGGAGGCTGAGGAGGGCAGATCCTGAAGTTAAGAGATTGAGACCATCCTGGCCAACATGGTGAAAGCCTGCCTCTACTAAAAATACAAAAAAAATTAACCGGGCCTGGTGATGCATGCCTATAGTCCCAGCTACTCAGGAGGCTGAGGCAGGAGAATTGCTTGAAACTGGAAAATGGAAGTTGCAGTGAGCCCAGATCGCGCCACTGCACTCCAGCCTGATGATAGAGTGAGATTCTGTCTCAACAACAACAAAAAAGAATTTGATTGTAAAATCAGATCACAAAGTATCAATATCTAAAAGGTGTTGAAAAAGTCAGGCCAAACACACCGACCAAAGGTTCACCTTCTGATGCACTATTTGTGGCTTTGATCATTCTTCAAAGTAATTTATCAGAATCTGTTCTAAAAGGAAAATTTCTACCCAGTAGTTTCTAGAACACTAAGCACTAAAACATTATGCTCATTAACTACACAGATGAAAAAAAAAAACGACCAATCTCTTCCTATACCATGTTGAAATTAAAAGACGTGTTTCTGTGCCATACTATTCTCCTGGCACTAAATCTGACACATTAGCCACTCAGCTATCTTTAGGACGAGGACTACCAGCATATACTGGCTTCTGAGCTCCTAAAGCTCAGTGCAAATGCACCTCAAGAGCACTTATATGGTGGTAAAGAAATGTCCTTGTGAGTCCCAGGAAGCTAGGAGCTAATAAGAGGTTATCAACAAAGACAGGCAATAAGAGTAAAGAAGACAAAATGCTAAAAAGTTCAACTACAGTAAGTACTAGTCTAGGTAGGTATCCTCTGAAAATCAGAGGGCAGTGACTAATAGCAAATGGCTCCTATTTTCACTATTCAAGATGATCATTGCATTTACTGCATCTCCATTTTTGGCTTATGAAGTATAAAGCATGGATTGTGTAGTGTAATCAACAAGAATCTCTAATTATCAAATAGAAAACTCCTTAAAATAGCCAACAAAATGTGTGAAAGTGCCTCAACATAGTCACAGATATCGAATCTCTGCAATTGATCCAGCTGCTCTTTTACCTTTTTCTTTATCATAGTAACTCAGGTCATTCTCTATATAAAGCCATTTGTCCAGGTCACACATTTCCAGCATAATATTTACCGTAACCACTATTAGGTAGGTAATATAAAATGGATGACAAATTGGGCTGGGCGCGGTGGCTCACACCTGTAATCCCAGGAGTTTGGGAGGCCGAGGCCGGCAGATTGCGAGGTCAGAAGATTGAGACCATTCTGGCCAACACGGTGAAACCCTGTCTCTACTAAAAATACAAAAAAAAAATTAGTTGGGTGTGGTGGCGCACACCTGTAGTCCCAGCTACTCGGGAGTTTGAGGCAGGAGAATTGAACCCAGGAGGCGGAGATTGCAGTGAGCTGAGATGGCGCCACTGCACTACAGCCTGGGTGACAGTGTGAGCTCCATCTCAAAAAAAAAAAGATGACAAATTAAACTTATTTTAGGATAGTATTAGTCAATATTGGGAGCATAAATTATAGTATTAGAGTATGAAAATGTTCATCTGTCACATCATTTGCAAGACATTCCAAAGGGACCTAACCAAAGGCCAATTGCTTTTAGAAGGGTAAGTATGGTAAAAAGCATAAGATTGTCAGGGCTGGAAAGGTTGGGATCCTGAAAAATGATAAGAATTTAAGAGTAGCTAACAAACTGCCCTAATAACTGGCTCATTCTCCACTCAATTCCCACAAACACACAATGTTACCACCCTCAACCTCAAAAGCAAAATATGTTATCTGAAGCATGTTGTTAAGATTTAAAGACAATGAAGTATACTGGGTCCTGGATATCTAAGATTCTGACTATATGAGTGAATCTGAAGGCTTATAAAATAGAATAAACTTTGGAATTTTATAGAGGAAAGAATTTGACTCAGAGGTCCTGTTATAATGATGTATGGGAGGAGCAAGTCACTTATCTCATGAATAAGCCCAGCTCACCCACCCAGCACTAACATCATAAAAAGGTTCTGCTGTGATAAAAATGTTCTTTATGTCCCTGCAAAGCTAAACCAAAAAGTGTTACTTGAAGTAAAAATAAAGTGACAAAATCTACGAAAATGATGTTTTATAGAGTAAAAAAAATTGTAAGTAAATTTAAAAGAAAGTTGAATTCACTGGTGGCTAAACATAGATGAACATTTGAAAATGAAAATTATGCTAGGTATGGTGGCTCACGCCTTCTATGCCAGCACTCTGGGAAGCTGAGGCAAGCAGATCACTTGAAGTAGGAGTTCGAGACCAGCCTGGCCAACACACTGAAACTTTGTCTCTACTAAAAATATAAGAACTAGCCAGGCATGATGGTGTGCACCTGTAGTCCCACCTACTCAGGAGGCTGAGACATGAGAATCACTTGAACCTGGGAGGCGGAGGTTACAATGAGCCAAGATCACACCACTGCACCCCAACCTGGATGACAAGAGCGAAGACAGTCTCAAGAAAAAATTTTTTTAATTAAAAAAAAAAAATTAAAATACAGATTCAAATGTAGCAGACCTTTTTTTTTTTTTTTTTTTTTTTTTGAGACAGAGTCTTGCTGCAGTGGTGTAATCTCGGCTCATCACAACCTCTACCACTTGGGTTCAAGAGATTTTCCTGCCGTGGCCTCCTGAGCAGGTGGAACTACAGGCACATGCCACCATGCCTAGCTAATTTTTGTATTTTTAGTAGAGGCGGTGTTTCACTATGTTGGCCAGGATGGTCTCAAACTCCTGACCTCATGTTCCATCTGCCTCGGCCTCCCAAAGTGCTGGGATTACAGGTGTAAGCCACTGCGCCAGCCAGCAGATCTGTTTTAATGACAAATGAAGGGACATTTAATTAATGGTGAGTGCAGGAAGTAGCCTGTAGAAGTATTTTTATATTCATAAATTTAAGAATTTGGAATTTTACAGAGGAAAGAATTTGACTCAGAGGTCCTGTTATAAAGTATCCCTTTCCCCTGCCCCACACTCTACCTGCAATTTTATGTGAATAGACTTCGATTTAAAATCTGAGGAAAAATGAAACCCAGATGAATGACTTCAGTACTTAGCTTCTACATATTTGACTTTACAAAATCTTTCCTTTTAGCATCTCTCTCTACTTCCTTACCTCCCATTATCTAAGGATTCCACAGAAAAATTCAGAAATACCTTTTCAGTTCAAAGGATTTTGCAGCTATACCTGAAAAAGAAAAGATTGGCAAACCAACCAGCAGAAATCTAAGACGATGTTCATGTTACTTGATGCCTTGACAACTCACCTCGCCATTGTCCTTGTCAATACTGTGAGACTCATCCAATATCCTATCCACCTCTACGTAGTCTGGATTAAAGGGCTCTTCATCCTAGATGAGTTATGAAACCAAACAATAAGACCAAAAGATCACTGTCCAATAAACCCACTCCTTTACCTCACCTTTAGCAGAGAATCCTACTTCAAAATTTTTAAAGAAATTTAGAAGCTATCTGATGGGAGTTTTCCTTTTTCATAACATTAAATCCTATAAATGTACCTGGGTCTGTACCCAACTTCTCACCTGCTACCAGTGAGTATCTCTTTCTCTCTAATAGAGGTCATTCTCTCCATAAAGGCTCTGGGCTCTGGTGTCCACTGCTTCTTGCATTCTTAGTAATCCTTCTACTGAGTCATTGCCATAAATACACACGTTTCACATTTCACATTTTTAAAAAAGACCTCCTTTGACTCTATATCCCCTGCAACTATTTTTCTGCTCTGCTTCATACCTAAAGGTGTTTTTTGTTTTGTTTTGTTTTGGTTTTTTGAGGAAGAGACACACTCTGTTGCCCAAACTGGAGTGGTGCAGTGGCACAATCTTGGCTCACTGCAACCTCTATCTCCTAGGTTCAAGTGATTCTCCTGCCTCAGCCTCCCAAGTAGCTGGGATTACAGGTGCCTGCCACCACACCTGGCTAATTTTTGTATTTTTGGTAGAGACAGGGATACACCGTGTTGGCCAGGCTGGTCTCAAACACCAGAACTCAAGTGATCTGCCCACCTTGGTCTCCTGCACTGCTGGGGTTACAGGCGTGAGCCACTGTGCCTGGCCCCATACCTAAACTTTTTCAAGGGTTTAAATATAGGCTATTTCCATTCCTTCATCTCCTTTACTTGTCCATCCATTCCACTTTTTCTTCTACTTGCAACACACAACCAAAACTACTCTTATTGAGGATGAATGCTGCAAATATAACAGACATATTTCTTCACTCATCTTGCTCCAGTGTTTACCAGTAAACCTGGATATTGGAATTTAAGCTGCTTTATCCCTATTTCTAGTCATACTGGATTAGAAATTTGAGAAAATAAATGTTCTCTCTTAATATGTCTACAGAGACCATCAATAGCTAAAGAGAGACATTAGAGGAGTGGCTCGGTGGTTTAGGGGTATGATTCTCCTTTAGGATGAGAGAGACATTAGAGGAAGAAGAATGCCTCAAGTGGACCAGCAGTCAGTTTATCACCAGTTTTGAAAATACTTCATGTGTGTTTAGGAAATCAATTTCAAAATACCCTATAACTAATAAATGAACCATATTTAAACCTAAGAAAAGAAAGCATGGGGCAATTAAGTAAGAAAGGTCAATGGCCAAAATTAAAACTTTATACCCATATATACAAACCAACTATAAATATTTTGAAGAATCAGCCAAAGCTAACAACCCCAGTAATTTGTCCTTCTATGAAAGAAATAATAGGTAATACCTATTCCTAATTACCTCATGGAAGAAGTGTCTCATCTGAGCCATTTTGGTTTTGAAGCGCTTTAATTTTTGATGGATCCTCTTATCCTTCTCTAGTTGGGAGATAGTAGCCCATTCACAGTGCAGATACGAACTAAGAGGGATGGAAAAAACCAGTCATGGTGCAAGTAAAAGGAGGTGGCAGGCTACTGTCTGAAATTTTGGGATTAGCCGGAAGCAGACATAACAAATACATGCTTAAATTGGAAGACAGTCTTTTAGGTCACTACTTCTGAATCTCTAATTTGTATATAAACCACCTGGTATGGGATGCGCTTGAAAGCCCACATTTCTAAAAAGCATCCAAGTAATGCTAATTCTGCTGGTCCATGGACCATATTTTGAGTAGCAAGATCTTAGAGCTAGACTAAGGTAAAGAGAATCACAAGAAATTTCGTCAGGAACCATCTTCACCCTACTTACCTACAAGGAAATAGTAAGAGTCATGTCAATTCCTGAATTTCTCTCTGAATAGCCATTTTCCCAATTAAAAACAGCAATCTGGGCTAGAATACTATAAAAAAGGGACACACTCCCATCCAGTATACTCTACACAGGAGAACTTTTTACCACCCTGTGGAATTTGGGGTAACAAGTTTTATGCACAGATCACGTACTAGTTCTTGTACTTGACAAAGAATTCTTCTGCTTCAGTATATTGTCCAGAAGGAAGCTGAGAAAAAAGAAAGAAATTAGTCACCAGTTCCTTAATTGTAAAAGAAAGAACTTTTTAATTTTAACCACACATTGCACAACTTCACACCAGTAATCCCTGAATATATTAATGACGCAGGGATTAAGGAACTAGCCTGGTACTTCAATAATAGAGGCCTGATAGCTGGAAGAAATAAGCCTTTACCCACTCTATAAACATATAAGTAAAAGATGTAGCAGTAAAGCAGTTCCTGTTTTCTAGCTAACTTTCCTCCATCATCTCTCACAACTTCACTCTAGCAATACATCTGACAACCAAAGGTGTTCATTAAATAAAGCCTGTGAACATAGCATTATAGGCTAATATTAAGATAGTGAAAAGTCAGGTGCAGTGGTAAACAACGGTAGTTCCAGATAGGAGGCTGAGACAGAAGGACAGCTCAAGCCCAGAAGTTCATAGTGCGCTATAATCACACCTATGAATAGCCACTGCGCTTTAGCCTGGGTAACTTAGTGAAACCCTGTCTATTTTCTAAAAATTTAAAAAGTCCTCACCTCCTTCTTCACAACCCGCATAGAAAGCACTTTGTCTACAATGGCTGCATCTTCTTCACTGGGATTCTCCTGCAGCAAAAGATGTAGTCAGTCAACAGATGATTGTGACTAGCAGGCAAACCTCTCAAACTGCTTGAATTCACAGCTTACCACAAAGAACTGCATGGAAGGCAAAGTCTCGCCATCTGGTTCTTGCACTGGTTCAGGGAGAATAGGCTCAGGTTTTATTGGACCAGTTACATCCACCTCTTCTTCTTCTTCATCATCTGTGATCTTTATATCCAGGTCCTCTGTATATTTTTTTCGTTTAACTTGGCGGTTTGAGCGTCTCTTCTGTAGAGCAAAAAGTAGTAGAGTCACTGATTAGGTCTCTCACAAAGAAGAGTTTTAAAATTATTTGCCCATGGTCATATACTTAGATTTTACTCCAAAATTTTGATGAAAAACAAACTAAAAATGATAGATTATTTGTCAAACAATGTAATTTATTCTATGAATTGATCATACATCAGTTGGCTTAACTGCTTTATAAAAAGCCAAGAATCCACTTAGAAAAACCTCTACACTAGTGGCAAGAAGCTCTGGGAAATCCAAACAAGATTCTCAGGCTGCAGGGTGCAATATAATTCACACTAGAAGCAACCTTGAAGGGCAAAGGTGCAAGAATACTTTGTTCTAATTTTGCTTTTTTTTGTCTTAGTTCTAAAGGTTTTCTTTCTTTTAATAAACAGAATCATACTATGGGTACTGTTCTGCCACTTACTTTTTACTTAAATGTGGGTGGTGCTGGGCAAAGGCATGCAGCTACAGCACGACCTCCCAGCAGCACACTCTTCAGCATCACCCTGGGAGGTACCAGGAACATCTACAACCAGAAATTCCTGATGGAGTGTCGGAACTCAACCATGACCAAAACATCCCCAAGGAAGGAACGCACCAACCCATGACCAAAACCCCCCCCGAGGGACCTGCACACCATTTCTGGGGTCACCAGCCCTGCCAGTGATGAGCCCCCAAAGGAAGCCAGCCAGAGCCACTTGTGCAATAGTTCAGAAGATAAGTGGGTGAGCGGTGAAGAATCACAATCTGAGATGGGCATTTAAAGGATCAGCCATCAGATCTCACATTGCCTACGGGACCCTCTGGGACTTCCCGGGAAGAATTACACCAGCCAGGCTTTATGAAAGTTATTACACTGGGCAGGCGTGGGGTGTGGAGTTGGCCACCCCAGCTTTCTCTCCCTTACTCAGGGCACCTGCTTCCTCCTCTTTGTGAAAACCAGCATATATCTCCTAGTGCCTCCACTGATGGGGGAGCTGCTGCCTCAAGGGGAATGATACCTGCCGGCATACCCTGCAGCAGAGTGCCAGGAAGTGGACAAGAACAAGCCCTTCCTTCTGAATAATCCAATGATCCACTCTTCTATCCCTATGCTCTACAGGCACAGCCAACCCTTCTTTAGGTTGATGTGCCTGGGAAACCTCTCCTCCCCCTCCTTCCACAAGAGAGGAAATAAAAGCCACTTTCACCCTAGAGCCAAGAGTTGGGCCCTGTCTGAAAAATAAAATAAAAGGTAGGCAGGACTAGAGTGGGAGTAAGGACAAGGCGAGTGGGGAGGGGGCCATCTGCTGATAAATATTAAAGTGGGAGAATGGGAATGTGTGACTTCATTAAAAATCTACTTTTGTGTATGCCTAAAAT